TGTAACCGTATTGAGTCCATTGAGGTGTTGTGCTACTGACGTGCCTTCCGCCATTCTCAAATTGAATAACCGCCACATCAAATGAACTTTGTTCGCGGCTGATGGCTTCTCATACATATTTGAGAGTGATGTCATAAGACCCGTCGTGGTCTTCTCCTTCGCAATATTGAACGTAACATTACAAGTCAACGTCAATCTGATAACTCTGAGGGCTTGTCTGTCTAGAAGGTTCTACTCATCTACCTTCATAGAATCCGGCTTCTTCCCCGATAGTGGTTGATACAGATTTTTCTAATACAGATAATCCTCTATCTGCATTTTTCAGAATTCAAAATGTGTTCCATCAAACTTCTTAAGTCTCATTTTTTCTTCATCTGCGGCCATGGCTCCCACTTGAATCTGACTTCCTCTAGATTATTTCAGGCTCTGATACCAATTATTGGGAATTTACGCCGAAACCCTTCTAAATAGCAAAAACATAGTATAGAAAAAATACACCAAGATTTAACGAGGTTCAGCAACTTTCTACGTCCTAGGGAGCCACACAGTAAATTTCTTATTAATCAAACAAGAAATTACAAACTTAGAGCAGATCTTAAACTGAGATCTCTCAATAAATGCTAATTTATTACTGTAGCTACAGTAACAAATTCCCTTCTTAAATACCCCCCTCTTAATCCTCTCTTCCCTTAATCTCCCCTCAAAAGATTCCTCAAATTCTGAGATCTGGAGGAACGAAAGAAAAACGACAGAGGAGAAAACGCTGCCGCTAAAAATCTCACGGAGAAGAACACCGATCTCGTGCTCTAGGGTTTCCCTTTTATAGGGAAACCCTAGCTGAGTTGTCGACAGGATGTCGACAGCTGTAAGGAGCTCGCCTATGCCACAACTTCTCCTGCAGAGTCGACATTGCCTGCATGAGCTCGCCTGCACGGGGTTCTCGAGCTTGCCTTGAGCAATCTCGCCTGACAGAGCCTCGCCCGCATTCGCCTTCGAGTTCGCCTGAAGCTGCTGATCTCGGGCTCACCTAACGCCAACTTCGCCTGCATGAGTTCCGCCTAAAGACCCTTGTACTCGCCTGCGTGGGATTCTCGAGCTCGTCTGACTTGTCCACACTTCGACCTCGTCGCCATGAGCTCGCCAAAGCTTCGACCTCGCCTGAAGCTCCTTGTCGTCGACTCATTCAAGCCTGCAGGTTTGGTCGACACCCAAACTAACACTCATTATTATTATTATTATTAGAGGTTTCTTTAAAAAATTTATAGATATTCTAAGAAGTATATAAGCATGAGGTATAGATTATACTCTTCAGACACAAAATTCTCGTCACGCTATTTAAACTAGGGAAGTGAAGTTGGTTGATGCTCTATTCTTCCATAATCTATAGCAATTAAATTTACAAATTATGCTCTAGTTGATGCAGTTTAAGCATATTCAAACATTAAAGAGAGCAAAAGATGAGTTTGAAGCTGTAATTTTTGTAGGATAGTGGAAGGGGGAACGTATAGGGGTTGATGCTCTCTTGACTTAAATTGAACTTATTAATGAGGCCACATCACTCTTATGGGGAGTAGTATGAAGAATGATTAAAATAACAAAAAGACAATCAGAGAATGGGACCCAACAAGTGGTTTAATTAGCTAAATTCACAATTACACAAAACATGGACCCAAATTAATTGATGAGCCACCCTTTTTGTCGAGAGTGATGAAATTTTCAGCCGTGTCTTGTTGTGCATGTTGTTATTTCTCGGCATCGCCGCTTAATATTATTCTAAATCATTTATTTTTATTATTAATATGGACTCGAGGATGTCTAGTTGTTTATTACTACACCTATCTCGTCTAATTTAGATGTGAAAAATGCAAAATAAAGCCATTTACTGTACTTGTGATCACTTACTAAATATATTCATACCTATAATCTGTGTTGATAATACAATATACCAACAATTTTAGTTGACGCTAATTTGACAATCTCATTCCAAAAAATCTTCACTTAACTTGAAAGTCTGGCATATGATAAGAAAATTGTTTTTCATTTACTTAGCTATGTGATATGCTTGAGTATAATTAACATCAACTTTTTGTACTTTGGAATATCAAATTGTCAAAATGGAATTTCACGATATTAAAATTAGGATGAAATGTTGGGCGTAGTAAAGTGCCAATAAGCCTAAAAGTAGAGGAATATATATGTTTTGGAATTACATTTCTTCTAGTAATGGTGTGGCTAGAAAGCTGAGCATAATTGAAAAGATATTAGTCCTGTCATAGAATCTAATGTTTGAGATGGAAAGGTGTATTTTGTTGTTTTCTTAATAACCCAATCATTAAGCACTAAAATATGCATGCATACATACAACTCATGGAAGGAATGAGCTAAGCGTTAGTTGATTCACACATGTTGGGGGTTCAATTGAAAGGGAAGGGGATGACTAGTGTGATGCATCTAATGTCAATTATTATATGATAAACCATCAAATTCATAATTTGTGGTAATAAAAATGTACCAAGATAATTCAAGGAAACTAATTCTTTCATTGCTTATTCAAATTCGAATATACACATATGATGAGTGAAATGCCTCAAGCTACACGCATCCTTAGTGTGTCTCCACCTTTTTGTCACCACCTCTATGAAATAGGAATAGGGTAAATATTCTATTCATTACATGTCAATAAAGATTTGACAAAGGCAAAATAATGAACATTTAACATGCCATTAATATATAGTTGTACTGAAAATAAATATTAAATTATTAATAAATTCTATCTCCCTCATTGTAGTCAACTTCCAATGCTTTTTCTTCATTAGGACAAGATAACTTTAAGTCCATGCCTTTTTCTTTTTCGTTTTTTTTAAAACAAGGACAAGATGTTTATTTTTTACATTCAAGATAATTGAAGGTATCAAAAGGACAACCTAGTCAATGATCATTAATTAGAGAGGCAAGAGGAGTTAGTTTCCCCTAATAAAGTAATCAGTTAAATGACATTGAGAAAGGAGAAGAAAGGCTACAATTATTACATAGGTCTAATGACTCTAATGTTGTAGATGCATGGAGAAAAGAGAGAAATCAAATGTGGTGGCTCTCTCTTTTGTTTGTATTTGTTTGGTGCGTCGTTCTTAAGCAATACATCGCTCGTTCCCTCAATCACAATCACTGCATGTCTCAAAGAAATATTCAAGAATGTTTTTGTGCTCTTGGCTTTAACCTCACGCAACCAAACCAATGTCGAGGCCTTCATTCTCAAAAGTTTTACTACTTTTTCCCCCACCCTTTTCAAAAGGTGTATCTGATAAGTCAATAAGTTGGTAACAACTCTTTAAAACAAGTCAAACTATGCCAATTTAAGAAATTTAGTGAGAATCAATGGATACTCATCTATCTAAGATACTCCATTGGAGTAAATATTCTATCCAGTCCCACTGGATCCACTTTTCAGTTGATTTTTTGGTAATTGATCCCACATAACTATTAAGGATCATCTCTCTAATATGGATCCGGAAATTAAGTGATAATTGCAGAGGGTACAATTCTCTTAATACTATTATCTATGTCATTTTCCAACAGATGAGATCATGCCATATTAATTAATATTCCTATTGTTACTTCTAATAAACTCTTGAAAGCCACTATAGTCAAAACCACTATTTTTTTGAGTGAAAATAGGGATTTCCCTATCATTATATTACTGATAACCAAGGTAAGAAGAACATACAAAAGAAGATATATATTGCTGATTAAGGCAACGTCTCCGAGATGGAGAATAAGGCCCAATCAGTAGTAGATGTCTTGAAGAAAAACTACAGAAAGCAGCAAAATAACTACTAAGTTAAGTACTCTAATAACTCAAATAGAAACTAAGAGGTTAACTGCAGCCCAAAAATGAATCCACGGCTACCCAAGAGATACTAGAAAACCAGCAGGAAGACATCTTCGGGTCAAGGAATCGTATTGTTGTCCTCACTCGACTCTAGGATATCTGAAAGTCCTACATCTTGAATAAGCTCCTTAATCTTGAGCGACTTCTTGGAGGTGGAGGCCCCTGCCCAAAAGAGGATGAAATTAACAGACTTCTTGATAATGCTATGAGGAGAAGACGAGATGTTGGAGAAGATGAGGTTGTTGCGCTCTTGCCACAGAACCCAACTGATGGATGGGAAGCAGACACCCCATAAAAGACGGACAGAGGCTTGGACGGAAGGATCTGAGCACAGTGCAAGGTACTGGTTAATGCTAGCTAGAAGAGAGGCAATGCCTAATTTAAGAAGAAAAGGGGACTAGATGAGTTGAGTCCGGTGGAAAGAAGAGAAGAGGTGGTCATGAGATTCTTGCTCTGAACAATAATTGCAACACGAGTCGGCTAGCCACCCTTGAGTGGCAAGTCTATCTTTGGTCTTTAGTCTAAGGGAACTGAGGAGCCAGAAGAAAATTTGAACTTTACTAGGCAGAATGTTATTCCATATGATAATGAGGTGCTTGGATCTCATCCCACCATCAGCTAAAGTGCGTCGAAGAGAATTAACAGAGAAGGATTTGGAGGCTGATATCAACCAAGAGGGGCAATCTGAGCAGTCTGCAGAGGAGGAAGGGACGAGGTTAAGAGAAGACAGATAATCTAGGAGAGCTTGCACTTGGCTCCTTGCGTCAACATCTCTGGGATGCCTAATGATGGGTTTCCAAACCCATGATCCCTCTTGGAAACTCCCTTGAGATGCAATGGTAACGAATTTGGAGAAGGCAAGATCATAGACATGGGGAAAAAGGCTAGCAAGGGAGTTAGCACCAGACCACTTGTCTTCCTAAAAGTAGGTAGTCGATCCGTTTCCCAGAGACCATTTGATAAAGGGGCAGAAGATTTCGGAGCATGAGTGGACATCTTTCCAAAATTTGGAGAAAGATTGGAAGAGGAGGGGTTATGATGGTGGAAATAGTAGACTGATTGGAGAACCCTCCCTACATAGCTGGTGTTATCCAAGTAATGCCATAACCATTTAGAGAGGAGGGCAGAGTTGAAGAACCCTCCCTACATAGCTGGTGTTATCCAAGTAATGCCATAACCATTTAGAGAGGAGGGCAGAGTTGAATAGATGAAGGTTGATCACACCGTTATCCAAGTAATGCCATAACCATTTAGAGAGGAGGGCAGAGTTGAATAGATGAAGGTTGATCACACCCAGTCCTCCACTAGCTTTGGGGGAACAGACAGTCCTCCAATTAACTGGATTATTACCTTTGATGTTGTCTGAGGCCTTACCCCATAAAAAGTTGTGTCTAATGCGATCTATATTCTTGATGAGCCAAGGAGGAAGCTTGAAGAAGGACATATAGTATACTGGTAAGGAGGAAAGGACTGATTTTAGAAGGACAAGACGACCCCCGATAGATAGATGCTTGCTTTTCCATGATGAGAGTTTGTAATGGAGGGAGTCCAATAGAGGTTGCCAGTCTGATCTGGAGAGAGAACCACGTTTGAGGGGGAAACCAAGATACTTGATGGGAGGGGATGCGATTGAGCAGTTGAGAATGTTGGCCAAGGTTGCTCCTTTGGATGAAGATTTGCCGTTGTAGAGCAGGTTGGATTTGGACAAGTTGATGGCCAAACCAGAGAAGTTTTTAAAAAGATACAGGATTAATTTGAGGTTGATGATATCTGACTCAGCTGCTTTGTTGAAAATAATGGTGTCATCTACGAATTGCAATGATTTGATATCATTGAGCTGGCCCTTAAGATGAAGTTCAGAGAGGTCTCCATGGTCGCAGCTGTTACGCAGCATCCTACAAAGAACGTCAACTACAAGGAGGAAAAGCATAGGGGAAAAGGGGTCTCCTTGTTTGAGGCCTCTGTGACAGACAAATGAATTAGTCGCGGTGCCATTGACGATGACTAAAGACTTAGAGGAAAACAAGGTGGATTTGATCTAGGAGCACCATCTGGGGCCGAAGCCTCTAGCCTGGAGCAGAGACAAAAGGAAATCCCACCCCACACAATCGAAGGCTTTGCAGAAATCAATTTTAATGATACAGGCCTCAAGCTTCTTCGAGAAACATTGGTGAAGCATCTCGTGGCCTAACACAATAGAATTAATGGTGGATTTCCCACTTTGAAAAGCTGCTTGTGAAGGGTGAACTAAAGATGATAGAAAAGGGCTTAGACAGTTCGCAAGAACTTTGGTGAAGATTTTAAACATGCTATTGAGGAGGCTGATTAACCTGAACTCAGAGGCAAGGGAAGGAGAGGGAGTTTTTGGAATGAGAGATATGAAGGAGTGATTGAAAATATGGAGGTGAGAGCTGTCATGGAAAAGATGATTGAAGAAGGCTAGAATGTCAGGTTTAAGCAGGTCCCAATAAGATTGGAAAAAGAGGATGGGATAACCATCTGGACCTGGGGCTTTATCTGGATGGAGACCAAAGATAGCAGCTCTGATCTCGATTTCTGAGAAGGGTTGTTCCAAGAGGTGGAGGGGAGGTGACGGTTGGGGATAGAGGTGATTCCAGTCTAGCTGGAAAAAGGAAGGGTGGGAAGCTTTGAAGTGATTAGAGAAATGATGATAGAAAACCCTTTGTTTCTCGAGCTCAGAGGAGATGGTCTCATTGATGTGGGTAAGGTAGGGGATGAAACTCTTCCTTCTATGATAGGAAGCAGTTTTATGGAAGAAAGAAGTGTTGGAGTCACCTTCTTGAAGCCATTGGATCCTAGATCTTATCAAAACCACTATTTGTGATAGAGAAAATCTTAGGCAGCATGATCTCATCCATTAAAATTGTGATAGACAATAAGACTTAAGAGAATTAGGCCCTCTCCAATTACCACCAAATTGGAGAGGATCTGAATCCCTCTAATATATTTAGTATTTGAAAACTATTTTATTACGTCAAAGTTAAAGAAACTTGACTTATAAGTGACTCTATGTGGTTGATTACAATAAAGAAAATCTTTAAAGCATTTTATTTATAGATTGATAATCAAAGATGATTTTTGGAGGATAATCCTATTTTACAAGTCGTATCTAGAAGAAAAAAAATCCGAGTATTGTTCTTATCAGGGATAGACAACTACTGGACAAAAATACCGGAATTGTACTATGTATTGGTTTTCACATAATATCTTCAATCAATATTCACGTACGATCTGCATAATAATTTTGTTCTGGCTTACCATTCTTTAATCTCCTGTTTTATCTTACTATACAGTCTTCTCCTTATCACAAGGTTTTTCTTGAGCAAATTGGACATTCAGCTTTCTTTTAAAAGAATAGAGATATTATTTAGAAACTCCATAAATTAAAATAGTTTGCGATGAAAAAAAGGATAAACGAGCAAAGTAAGAAAAACAAAATCCATAGAAAATGTGGGGTTTTCCCATATTTTTCCTTAGATTTTTAATATTTTGAAATTAATCCCTCAAATCGTCTAAATTGATATCCCATAATTCTTATATATTTCTATGGTTACTTGATAGGAGAGTTAATTTGGAACAACCTACAAAATTTGTGAAATGAACTCCTAGTAAACCTTCAAAGACTTGGGTCAAACATCATGCTAACATTTACGTTCAATAGGATATTTTTGCACTTAAATCGGATTTCACCAATATATAATTACCAACAGTTAAATAATTTATCGGAGATATGCCAAAATGATAGTTAAAGATAATTCTAGAGAAAATATAAGCTCAAGATTTTAGATACTCAAGATTTTAGATAATTATCTTACAAAATTAAGTTAGTTGCTCATTTGACTATAATTTTCAATTTTGCTTTTCCTTTATTGAAATCTTTATCTTGTTAAATTTACAGGCTGTCCTTCAAAATTAGGAAGGTACGTAAAAACACATAAATACGTTAATGTTTCACCCTTTTTTCACTTATACACCCCAAGTTCTATTTTGTTAACACTTTTATACCCTAAGGCTCCTTTTGGCAAATGGTTAAGGAAGAATGGTTAAAGAGAAGGATTAATGTACTTAGTCTATTCGATAATCTGAAGGACTAAATTATTAACCCGTTAAATAAGTTTTATTTTAGCTATTGTGATCAGTTTTAGTGTTTGGGAATAACAATGATTTTGATTATTTTCTTTATAATTAGAGGGGTTAACTCTTATTCCTTCTAAATAGGAGTATTAGTAAACCCCTCATTTTGAGGGGTTAACTCATTTTAATCACTCTAGAGGGGTTAGCTTAACTCTTCTATATTTTTTATGTTTGGTAAATTATGGAGGGTTAACTCACTTTAACATTTGTATAATTTTTTGTGCTTGGCGGGTTAAAAAGGGGTTAAGTATCCTTAACACTTTGCCAAACAGTACCTAAAGTTTTTAAAATAACAAGTTACTACTTTCCGTTAGACAATAGTTGAGTATTCCTACCAAAGATTTCCCGTATGCTCACTGTCGCGTGACAAATTTAGGACATTCATACTCATGATTGTCGCCAAAAAATGGCTAAGTGGTATCAAAATGCCACAAAATTCCTTGTTTTGACATTTATAATTTAGCAAATAAACACTATAAGTCGTTTAAATTGACACATTAGTATCATCAATCATGCAAACATGAAAATTTTCACCTGAATGTTCTCATATGAAACAACATGTTAATTTTATAACTTTCTAATTATTAATATTTGTTAAATTTATCATCAAACATATCCCAACTTTATTTAAAATAGAATTAAGATAAGTTTGAAAAGGAATTTTAATTGATTTAATAGCAAAATTAAAAAATATGATTATAGTTGAAAAGCTCTAAAATTATTATGTGAGTATCATAGAGAAATATTCGTATGAAAAAAATTGTGTTTGCATGATCGATGGTGCTAATGTATCAAGTTTGAACAACTTATAGTAATTTTTTCGCCTAAAAAATAACTCATGGTATACAAAAGCCGAAACTTCAAAACTTTACCGGATTTAAGTGCCATTTAGCCTAAGTTAATAAAGGAAAATTCAGGTATGAAAGTGTGACAGAATACAACTAAAAGTATACATTGACGCATTTCCCCTAAAATTACCTTTAAAAATAACGTAATTATACGAAAACCACATTTCAATTTCAATTATACACAAACCATTTAAAGTGAGTTTTGTTGCAATCAACCAAACCCAAGTCAAAAGTTTCACTAAGGGGGTGTTAGTCAATTGGGACATTTTCATGCAAAATGGGATAATTCTTAAAGTGGAATAATATTTCGCTAGTGGGATATTTTAGTGAGATAACTAGGAACAATTTTGTGAAGCAGGATATTTTGATAAAATAACGTGGGATAAATTTTTATAATCATGAAGTATATATTTATGCATTTTGAAGATATAAATACTATTTATGTATTTTAAACTTACTATTATTAATTGATAATTGCTTACAAGAATGTTCGTTACTATTAAATAAGTTTTGGTTAGAGTATAAGATATTGACAATTATTATTATGATGATGGTCTAATGATGGTGATAACCATAATAGGAAACAAGTAAAGAAAAAAATAAAAAATAACAAAATAAATACGAGTTCTAGTTTTTTACCACATAGTTCCAAGCTAAAACTTGGAATAATTTGAGAGACTAGAACTCTCATTTTTGTATAGAAAAATAAAAAAAGTGGGATAATTTTGTACAATTATCCTAATTCTAATTTTGTTAAAGTTCTGCTTGACTAACACTGTAAAATTTTATTCTAGTTTTAGTTCTATGTGACTAACACCTTAAAATTTTGTTCTAGGTTTAGTTCTATGTGACTAACACCTTAAAATTTTATCCTACAGATTATCCCAGTTCTAATTTTAAGTTCTAGGTGACTAACCCCCCCTAATATCCAAAATTATCTTTAAAAGATCACATTCACGACACATAATTCATTTTTCAGTGCTCAAATCTTCTTAGAATAAAACTCATGTACCTTGAACCTGAAAAATTTTAAGCTTATTTTTTAGTTTATAATAGTGAATTTTTAGCTGGGAGGTGATTGATCGTAATAAAGACCTATTTTAAATGTGGTTTCTGTATAAAATTGAAATTAAAATTTGATTTTCATATAGTTACCTTATTTTTAGGTGGTTTCTATTAAAAAAACCTGATGATGATTCGTTAAAATAAAGAGTATATAATTAATGAAAAGAAGATGAAACATAAAAGTATTTAGGTGCTAATTGACCAAATTAGAAAGATATGACAAATATTAAAACTTGGTAAAAAGATGATTTTAAAAAAATACAAAACGGTGACAGTTAAAGTTTTGATTCTGATGCGTACCGATGTCAGGCGGCACATGATGAGGTTAAAAAATATTGCGGCCGTACAAATTTTAGTAGCAGTAAAAAAGAGCAAACGTCTAACTGGCCCTCAACAGGCTACAGCTGTATTAAAAAAAAGTAAGTAGCCTACTGTGTTACTTACTCTTTTGTGAAATATTTTGTCTCCGTAATTGATGATAAAACTTTGCTTTGATGAAAAATATTTAGGCTATTGATTGTCAAAATTTAAACTAAACACTATACTTGCTATTTTCATTTTGCTATTTCAATAAACAAAATGAAAATAAAAGGTTGTGTTACTTTAAAGTAAGTAAGGTTGCTATATTCTAAATAATTTAAAATTAAATGCAAAAGAGTTATAATTGTCTTTATTTTAAAAGGAAAGAAAATACCCATCAAAGTTATTTTTTACTGAAATATTATAAGTCTTATACTATCATTGTCCCAATACTGACAATAATAAGATAACACATTTTGTTTCAATAGGCATGAGCGTCAACATTTTTGAATTTTTGACAACCTAATAATGCACTCTCCACCCTTGACAAGTGAAATCAAAC